AGCTTTTCCTTACACATACAATCCATTTGTAAAATATCCATATGAATTCAGAACTGAAACAGCCCAACTGTTAAAGAGGATTAAACAAAGCATGGAAAGATATTTTTATTCTCTTAAGCCTAAACTCCTATGTTTTTATACATTATCATCAGAAAACTGGGAAATGAAATATGATTGGGCAAAGCTTACAGGTGTTCTATATTCTCCCAAATAAAAGAATAAAAGCTATGGGCTTTAACTTTTGCTGTTTTTTGTTGATATGTTGTTTTTAATGTTAATGAACAAAGAAAAAAATTCACTTCAGGTCTCATACAGAAGCTTAGCTCTGAGTCATTTTAACTAAAGCTGACACCACAGAAAAAATCTACCTGAGCTCACCTTTCATTACTTCCTGTTACCTCTAACTTGGCTAACTCCTCTAGTCACTTATAAAACAACAAAAAGAAACACATAAAGCATCATTAGTTACTCCACACGAACAATGACCTAAAGCACGTCTTCATAATTATGAGTATATTCTACCTTCATGTGATGAAATAATGGCAAAATTCCTTCATGCATGAGTCATTTCTTAAAGGAGTAGACAATGGTGCCACATAAGTTTTATGAAGTACTTTCTCTATCATGTGATGATAGCCAGTTCTTATCCAAACATACCCAATCTTAAAGTTTTTCGCTTTCAACCTAAGTTGGGTGCAGATGTTTCAAAATGTTTCACGTTTAACAATGCCACCAGGCATACTGAGCTAGAGAGTAAACAATTCTTGACTGAAACAGTGACCTGTTTTAAATATTACCCACAGATCCTGAAATGACCGTTATTTTCCAATATGAGGTGACAAAAGAAAGAGGTAAATAAAAGTTTCTTTCAAAAATACTTGTATTAGAATGTGGCCTCCTCCTGGTATGAAACAATCAAACGTACCTCAAAAGTATAGGTGCTATTTATAGCATTTCAATTATGGCTGTATGGTGTGTGTGAGTGCTTGCATGCACATGCGTGTTTCCCATCAATATAAGCATGTAACAATTTGGGTGTGAAGAAGACTATTACACAAAGATATCCACCTATCGCAACTGAAATCACCTAAGAAGCAGGTTTGTGGGTTAAAATTATGAATGACTACTTCACCACTCCCTTCAAAAAAATACATGGGAAGTCATACTATGTATTCTTTAGGGAAAGATGTACTTGTAGGACGTGCTAAAAATTTAGAAGAGAATAAAAAATATTTAAAAGAATAAAAGTCCTCCCAAATTTATGTGTCATTCTTGTACAGGGCTGTGCTAACCTTGCACGTATTGTGACCTGGATGTAAGATGGCAAAACAGCACAAAGGTGCATTTTGTTAGCACAAAGCATGTGATTACTTTTCATTTAAGTGCCTGAATGCCACAGACACCATTTTAATAAATTGAACAAGAATGGTTAGAATCATACAGGAACTCTAAAATAACAAAATGAACAAAATCAATATAAAAGTTAAGGTTCTTAAGATCATACCAGGAAATATTATAAGAGAGAACAGCATGTAGGTGAGATTAGGTACTAGACACAAAACATAGAATAAAAAGACAGAAAAAAAGCAAACATTTCAAAATGTTATTTTGAACTAAACAAAAAAGTGAAAAAGTGAAAATGAAAGTAAATGGTAGCATAGTAAAGTGGAAAAAAAAAAAAATGAACCAGGAGATGGAGATGAACTGAGTTCTAAGCCTAGTTCTTCAATTAAGTATAATAGTAAGAAACTAACAGCAAATCATCTAAAATAAGAGAATGAACAAATAACTCTAAGGTTCTTTAAAGATGTCAAACACAAAATTAACACCCAACCAATTTCCTCCTGCTCTTTCTAGTAAGTTTTCCTGTATCATTCTGTGTATTTGTTGACAAGTGTGCTGCTGGTTGGGGGAGAACAATTTTCCTCCAAAGTTTTAGTTTCATTGTGATGTTCTCATTCAATAGTCACGGATCTTATAAAGATGTATTACTTTAAATGACAATGTTTTGAGAGTAGACTGTAAAAAAAAAATATAAGAAAAATAAGGTAGCCATTTGAATATTAAGCTATAACTTACATTTTAATTACTCTTAATTAATCAAAGCATTTTTCAATGTTCTTTAAAATACTATGAAGTACTCAAGAGAAAGAAAAAAATATACAGTACAGAGAAATGAATAAATGAAAGTCAATGCTTGTAGTGAGGTATGAGGCTCACATCCCATCTCTGTTAGCAATAAAAATGATTAATCTCTTAATCATACTTCAAATAGAAAAACTAGCCTATATTCTCAAATCTTCAAGAAAGTAGCAAAACAGACAGGAAACAGAGATTGTTTTGTGTATGTGTGTGTGTGTGTGTGTGTGTGTGCGCGTGTGTTTAAATCCTTACAGCATGGAGAAAATAAACTGGGATAGTAAGTACTCCTAAATCAATAACAGTTATAGAGAACACCACAATCAAAATTTCTGTAACTTTACTTCAAAGATAAAAAAAAGTCTAACTATCCCTGTAAGAACATACAGGAAAATAGCAATATTGGTTGTCTCTGTAGAGGGGAACTGTATTAGGATTTCATGAATAAAAGTTGAAAAAAAACTTTACTCTAAATTCCTTTAAGTACATTTTGATTTTATTAATAGAACTATATAAATATATTTTCTATCAGAAAATGATTTTTAAACTATTAATGGAATACAATACATAAAAACCTTGAAATAGGAGTTCATTAAATTTAAATATTTTACTTTTTTGAAGAAAATTAAAAAACCAGACCCAGACTAGGAAAAAATTACAATTCATATCTGATAAGGTCTTATATCCAGAATATATAAATAACTCAAAATTCAGTAATAAGAAAACAAATAATCTATAAAATTTGAGGAAAAGGTGTGAATAGATAAAAACACACTAAACTTTGTTATTAGGAAAATAAAAACTAAAACCACCAAGATACACCACCACAAAAGCACTAGGATGGCTATAATAAGACAAAAAGTATATGCAAGTGAGAATATAAAGAAACTGAAACTTCCAAACATTGCTGGCATGACTGTAAAATGGTGCAGCCAGTTTGGAAAAGTTTAGCAGTTTCTTAAAAAGTTTAACATAAATGTATCATAGTACCCAACCATTCCACTCCTAGGAATCAATCTATCCAAGAAAGATGAAAACTTTTCCACACAGTGATCTGTATGCAATCGTTCACAGCAGCATTATTCATAAAGGTGAAAAGGTGGTAGAAAACAAAAAGAGAATAAAAGGAAAAAAAGTGAAAAGGTGGAGCCTGGCCAGTGTGGCCCAGTGGTTGAGAGTCAACCTATGAACCAGGAGGTCACAGTTCGATTCCGGGGCACATGCCCCGGTTGTGGGCTCAATCCCCAGTGGGGTGTGTGCAGGAATGATTCTATCTCTCCCCCTTCCTCTCTGAAATCAATCAATTACACAATATATATGTATATTTAAAAGTAAAAAGGTTGAAATAATCTAAATACCCACCAATTGGTGAATGAATAAATAAAATATAGTATATATTCTTAATGGACTACTAAACAGCAAAAAAAAAAAAAAAGAAAAGAAAAAAAGAAAAAGAAAAAGAAACTTCTGAATCACACTACAAATGGGATGAAACCAAAAACATTATGCTAAGTGAAATAAACAATCACAATTTTGTATGACTCCATATATGTGAAATATCCAAAAGAGGCAAATTACAGAGACAGGAAGCAGACCAATAGTTTCCTACAATGGACAGTGAGGCACAGATTAGCTGCCAAGAAGCAAAACTAAACTATTGAGGTGACAGGTATGTTCTAAAACTAGACTGCAGTGATGAATGAACAACTCAGTAAAATTTATTAAAAATAAAAATCATTAAATTGCCAAGAAATTATTTAATTGAAACTCTTACTAAAAACTAAAATTACACAGTAACGAAAATAGATTAAGACTGGAAGACAGTATTATGGTCAACCTAATGTCAATTATGCTATGATTTTTTTTTCAATTATGCTGATTTAATTATCATAAATAATGTTTCAGGAAAGACACAAAGAAAGAATTCAGTAATTGAAATTTTGAGTAAACATTTAACCCAGCATTAGAAATATGAGGGTGTGCATCAAAAACCTTAACTATATAATCTAGTACAAAACACTCATGACAAATGACAGCAAGACCTAATGATATATTTATAAACTCTTTAACCAATAAAACCTGTTCAATTTTAATAATTCTGAGTACTGGTCAATAATTTCTTTTTAAATCAATCTGTTGGTATTTTAGATGGCCCCTCGTCTCCTGCCCCCATTGAACCTTTGTGCATTTAGAAGTGCTAGATATACACAAGGATGCCAGAAAAGGCAGGCAGATTTAATTAAGGAAAACAAAGGTAAGATATTTTATTTAACTACCTCTTATTCCTTTAGAATGAAGAAACACAGTAGAAAATTAAAAATAATATTTATCAGAACTGAATTTACAAATGAGAGGACCAGGAAACCAAAGATGTGATAAAAGGATAATTTAAGAACAATGTATTTTATTTTGTCAAAGAAAGTCAATTCCTTATTTTGTTAATGCCAGTAATTTATAAAATAGATTAAATACTACAAGCTTCTGTTTCAAAAGACTTTTCCCTATAAGATAATGAAAATTTCTTCTGGCCCAGCTAGCTTGGATCAGTGGTTGAGCTTCCACCCAGGAACCAGGAGATCACTGGTTCAATTCCTGGTCAGGGCACATACACGGGTTATGGACTCGATCTCCCGAAGGGTAAGGGGGGTTAGGGTAGAGGGTGCGGGAGTGCAGCCAATTGATAATGTCATTAATGTTTCTAACTATCTCTCTCCCTTCCTGTCTCTTTAAAAAATCAATAAAAACATACTTAAAAATTTCTTCCTGAAGTAACTAGCAAAAGTTATAACTGCAGAATACTTATGTTACTTTAGGAACAAAGGGCAATCAAAGAAATGTTTCACTACTGCTAATTACATTACCTTCAGGAGCAATCACAGAAGGACAGACTTCTTTGAGGAGATCTCCTAAAGTATGCAATTGTCCATCTGTAGCCACAGGACGAAAAAGCTTCTGAATGAAAGGTCGTTCAGTCGTTGTCTATTTGAAAAATGAAGAAAGAATTCAAACAATTAAGTCTTTGTTGCTAGAAATAACAAATTAATAGATCAGAAATTTAAAGCTTGCTTTATATTTCTTTAGATATAGTGTAATCAGAAACATACATCATCAATGTGGTATTATTGCTCAGAATGCTTAACATAAAGTAAATCTAGCAATGAGGAAACATTCAAACCCAGAATGTAAAATGCTTTAAAACAACTGGCCTAGATGACTCAAAAAAGTTTTCAGAAGCAATAAAAAATAAAACAAAAACAATACAAAAACATTTAAAAAGGTTGACAAGATATAACAATTAAGTAAAAAAATAAAACAAACCTTGACTGAATACTGGATTGGAGAAGAAAAATTTAAAAATCAGCTATAAAAGATGTTCTTTGGAATAACTTGGGAAATAAGGAATGAACACTAGACAGCTTTATTAAATTAATGTCAAATTTCGTAGATGTCAAAATTGTGGAAGTGAAGGGAAAGCAAATGTAGAAAAATGTTAACTATGGTGAATCTAGATGAAGGATTTATATTGTCTTAGTTGTTTTATTATTTTAACTTCTCTATGTTAAAAAAATTTTCCAAATAGTCAATACAGCAATAGTTATTAGCACTATATCATAACTTATTGCTAATTGATTTTAATGTTTCACCCACTTTTATAATTTTAATTTTCCTGAACTACCTCTATAGGAGCATGTCAAAGATGATGAAAACTTCATCATGACACAGTGCAGAAGCTCTGGAATCAGCCAGTCTACTAACTGAAGTATTGTTCATGAGCTTATGATCTTGAGCTCAGTTTCTGCAGAAATTTGGGACATTCCCTATTTCTTTTCTTTTCTTTTATTTTTTTTAATTGATTTCAGAGAAGAAGGAAGAAGGAGAGACAGATAGAAACATCAATGATGAGAAAGAATTACTGATCAGCTGCCTTCGGCATGCCCCACCCTGGGGATGAAGCCTGAAACCTGGACATGTACCCTGACCAGTAATCCAAACAATGACCTCCTGGTTCATAGATCAATGCTCAACCACTGAACCACAATGGTCAGGCCATAATTAAAGAACTGTGCCAAGCACAGAGTAAGTTAATAAATAAATATATGATAAAGAGAATAAAAAGAACCTCCTCCCTTGTTATTTTATTTTAACACACTAGAGGCCTGGTGCACAAAATTTGTGCACGGGGTGCACGAGTGGGGGAGAGCTGTCCCTCAGCCCAGCCTGCACCCTCTCCAATCTGGGATCCCTCGAGGGATGTCCGACTGTCCATTTAGGGCCGATCCCATCGAGATCAAGCCTAAACCGGCAGTTGGATAACGCTTTCACAATCCAGGACTGCTGGCTCCCAAAAGCTCACCTGCCTGCCTTCCTGATTGCTCCTAACCACTTCTGCCTGCCAGCCTGATGTCAGTAATTCTGGTCAAGGCAGGTAGCTGGGTTGCAGACAACCAATTGATGTGGCTCTCTCACATCTATGTTTTTCTCTCTATTCTCTCCCTCTGCCCCTTCTTTAAAAAATAAAAAATAAAATTGCCGAAACCGGTTTGGCTCCGTGGATAGAGCGTCGGTCTGCAGACTGAAAGGTCCCAGGTTCGATTCCGGTCAAGAGCATGTACATTGATTTGCGGGCACATCCCTGGCAGGGGGTGTGCAGGAGGCAGCTGGTCGACGTTTCTCACTCATCGACGTTTCTAGCTCTCTATCCCTCTTCCTTCCTCTCTGTGGAAAATCAATAAAATATCTTTTTAAAAAAATCAATGGAAAAAATATCCTCCAGTGAGGATTAACATCCCCTTCAAAAAGTTAAGTCCTTCTCCGTAAGTGTTCACAGCCCCCATCCAGAACCATATCTTTTCAAATTCTTTCTGCTTCCTAGCCTGTTCTCAATCCTCACAGTTTCTGACCACGTTGTACTTTCCTGACTATGGTCACCACACTCTTGGCAGCACTCCAGCTCTCATATCTGGCTTCACCTCTACTACCTATTCACTTCCTACTTCCTATTTTGGGTTAGGGCTGATTTCATATGCTTAGGTAAATTCTTGCCTAGTCCAGTCAAGCCTGGTGATCCTTGCACAGTCCTTATGGCTGCCTCCTGCTCCCCAAACAGCCCAGATCTACACCCTCAGAATCTACCCAATCCTCCCTTTTTCATAAGGGGAATAGCTGGAATACAATGGTACCCATGTGAAATTAGTGGATAAGGAAAGAAAAGTGAGATTAGGAAAGGCTTGGTTGAAATCCCAATTTACAACACAACTGACTGTGTACTGATGGCAACTTTCATTAATCTTTGGGAGTCTGTTTCTGAATTTGAAAAATGGGAATAATATATATCTTTAAATGGCTGCTATGATAATTAAATATGATGAGATGCATAGAACATTTATGCAATAGGTGCTTAACAAAGATTACCTAGTTCTTTTCATTCCTCCCCTTTAAACCACTGTTACTAGTAAGTGTAGAACCAAAGGTAACACTATTTAGTCTCTACAGAACCACTAACAAAGAATGAAAAATAGTTGATATTTGACCATCAGTTCCCTTTGAAGTCTTGTTATCGATAATTAGAATATGTAGCACAAATAAAAACAGGGGTTTACACAGGATATGCTCCCAGACTTTATGAACAATGACACATGATATGTGCTTCAAATTGTCACATGCATATTAGGCCTAAGATATATTCATGCATGTCAAATTTTGCATCACATGCTTTTTAAAAGAAGCCTCATATTAAAATTAGCTTAAGAATATACACAATTACAATACATCATTAAATAAAAAGATCAGACCATTTTCAAATGAATGCTTTTAGACCTTTACAGTAAATAGTCTTTTTGGTGGTGGGAAGTGGGATGGGGAGTCTGTACCACTTAATCAGATGACTTTTATCCCTCTATATAGGAAAATAGAAGACTTGAAAATAAGCACTTTCTGTAGTTATGCTACCAGAGCCTGAAGTCCACTTTTAATATTCCCAACAATTCTAAAAAATAATAATTAACATTTAAAAAGCTGTCATTATTATAGTCAGGGACACTTAATCCTCAAAGCAGTAGTGTTCTAATTAAGACTATGATTAAATGAAAACACCATCAGAATTATATCCATACATCTGGTTTTAAGTTTATGTTTTGTCTTACTTAAACTTGTATTTATTATAATTCTGTCTAGACAATGCCAATGTACTTTGTCACATAAATAGTTAAGGCAAAGTTTCTTCAAATACAGGTAACAGCCTGTGTCTTCTTCATATCCTTTCACTGAATATCGTGTGTTACAGGGAAGCTCCATTTTTCTTTTGGTCACAATGAGATCAATTTGGTGCTGTTTTGAGGCAAATTATTAAAAAAATTACATTGCTTAAAATTTTATATGGAATTCTTAGTAGTCAATGAAAAGCTTTTTATAAAAGTGCTAGACATTGATGTTTTTAGTAATAATTATCTAACTAAAGCTTCTCAAAAATGATTTCAAAATCATACCAAGGGAATCAGTTTAAATTTTACCATCTATAAGAGTTTTTAAAATATCTTTGTTAATTTTCCCAAAAGCCACACTAAAAAGGTAGGATAATACAAAAGTAAAGCAATTAATAAATTGTTCTCTCCTGAAGAATGAAAAGACATTTTTATATATGGGTGACTTCTTTAAAATATAAAATATATATCCACACAAAAATTTGTATATTAATGTCCATCAATTAATTGGTAAGTGGAAATGTGATGTCTCCATACAATGGAATATTACTTGGTCATAAAAATGAATGTACTGAAATATGCTACATCAATGAACCATGGAAATTTAATGCAGGTGAAAGAAGCAAGACCTAAAAGGCCATATATTGTAAGATTCCTTTTATATGAACTGTTCAAAATAGGCAAATTCACAGAGATAGAAATTAGATTAGTGGTTGACATGGGCTGGAAGGAAGGGGAAATGAAGAGTGATAGCTAATGGTGTATGGAGTTTCGGTGTATGGAGTTTCTCTTTGGAATGTTATAGCATGTCCTTAAATAATGTCATCTATAATAATAAAAGCATAATATGCTAATTAGACTGGACAGCCGAACGACCTTTTGGATGTCCTTCCAGACAAGCTTCTGGACAAAGATGTGGCCGTGAGGGTCTAGCAAACCACCATGGCTGCGAGGGCTGAGCCCTTTGATGAATTTTGTGCATCGGACCTCTAGTTTCATTATAACATTGATGGATAATGGAGGAACTTAACTCTTCTTTATATCAATTAGCCTATGGTAAAACTGTTTTCATTATACATTGTTTCCCTTAAAGTCACAGAACTTATTGAATACATTAAATGAGGATTATTGTATGTAGTAGTGATGGTTGTACCAACTCTAAATATTCTAAAGAGAATTAAATAAAATACAATTTAAAGGGGTGAACTTTATGGTATCTAACTTCTACCTTAATAAAGCTGTTATTGAAAAGTAAATGTAGCCCAGCCAGTGTGGCTCAATGGTTGAGCCATGACCTAGAGCCAGGAGGTTGCAGTTCGATTCCCAGGCAGGGTATATGCCCAGGTTGTGAATTCAACCCCCAGCAGGAGGCAGCCAGTCAATGATTCTTTCTGACCATTGATGTTTCTTTCTCTCCTCTCCCTTCCTCTCTAAAGTCAATAAAATAAAAACTTTTAAAGTAACTATATATGTAAAAATGCTCATGTGGTTGATAGGGGCAGTGCTTCTAGGTTGGTTGCTAGATTCAGCATAGTCTGATTTATAACTATTCATTATACATGTTGGTTTTATAAGTTTTTAGGAAATAATCTATTTTTAAAAAATTTATAATGCTTAAAAAAAATTTTAAGGTCAAGAGCCCCAAACAATAAGGATCAGAGAAATACTCCTGTCCTCATCAATTCAAATAATTACAGGTGTTTTTTTTTTGTTTTTTTTTTAAAGAAATTGTATAGCATCATGGCAATTTAAAGAATTTATTTAGAAATTTAAATAACT